GGAATCCATGGAGTAGAACGTTATCAACTTCTATTAGGGCCGAGTCATGAAGGTGGTGTTGATACTCTTACCTCGCTCGACCTCTCAGGTCTTATCTTGGAGTTGATCTGAGTTGAAGCCGAGGTGCACTAACAGCGGGGTCGGCACCTGCGTCTCAGGGTCACGGGCCATGTTAGTGGCGGGAAAGTCACTGTTTGGAGCAACCAGAATTCCGCGAATATTCGACCAGAGTAGGCGAGCTATACCGGAAACTAGAGATGAGAGGCTCACCAATTACGAACGAATGCATCCTAGTATGAACATCTATCTAGCTTGACGAGGAAACAAAACGGGGAAATACGTCTCATGGGAAGGATTTCGCATGTACGTGCACACCGACGAAAACTCGGTATGCATCTAAACGGCATTGTGTCGCTGACGCATAGAAGCAGGCATCCACCAAATAGTCCATTCTAGGCTGCAACTCTCTACTTAGTCAATGGTGACTCTTTCGACTCATCGAAAGCATGGAAACTTAACTTCCCCCCTTCAAAGGATTGCCCAAGGTTGAAATTTGGAAGGCTTGGCACGGGCTCCGAACCGGTACACGGAACAAGGCGTCTCACAGGTTGCATCACACTTCCCACAGTAGTTAGCAGAGTTTTCAAACCGCTCTCTCACCTTTACCCATTCCAGCCAACATCACACCCACCGCACTCATCACCGTCAGTATCACAGCATTTCCCACTCACCCAACTCTCATCTCATCTACTTTTCATGTTTCTCATATCTTCATCTCACTTCCCCTCATGCCACAAAAACCAACCATCAAACAAATAGATTGAGTTCTTAAACATACCTCGCAAGACCCAAAAAGAAACATGTTTGACCAACTCCCAGACGACATCGTCTTGGAGATTGTTTCTCACCTCAGAACAGCCCGCGACATCGCCAGGCTCGCCTCATCCTGTAAACATCTCCACCATCTCCTCTCAGAAGATGGCTGGCGCACCTTCGTCAGGACCTGCTTCCCTCTCCTCTCTCTACCTCTAGGCCAGCAACCAAAATGGAACGAGCTGGCCAACACCCTTACCCGCCAGGCGAGGGCCTGGGACACGAAAGCTTTCCAGTCCATCGCTTATACGGACTCTCATCGCCCAGAGGGCAACTTCTTCACCGGATTCAGCAACGCCGCTCGCCCCTTCCACCCCATCATCGACGCTCGTCTGGCATTCGACAAGAGCTGGGAGGTCGTATCATGGGGCGCCGGCGAGGATATCGTCGGCCGCTTCAGGCCGCTCAACTCCCGCGGAGAGGCTGATGCTTGGTTCCGTATGGAGGGCAAGGCCAACGGATACGAGGCTGGTGTTGGCGACGTTACGGCCATCCATCTCACTGAACCCGACGGGAAGCTGGGCATGCTTGTCGGAAGGGCAAACGGTGATTTGTCTCTCGTCTCAGCCGCGCAGGGTAGTGCAGGCAAGACTCTCTCACACTTCAAGATTCCCAAACCCACTGGCGGCCTGGAGCTCACCACATGGACCTCCATCGGCTCCATTGATACTCTGCCCAACCAGTCATCAGTGGTCGCTGGCAACAGGGCAACTATCAGCTTGTTCCCCCTGAACACAGATAATACGGGGGACGCAGCCCCTCTGGACTCCCTGACCTTCGACATGTCAGGTACCGCCAGAACACAGTTCATCCACGCCGCCAAGGCGATGAACAATGACACCATTGTCTGCGCCCTCTCAGGCTCCTCGGACCCGATCCGCTATCTCACCGTCACCCCTACAGGCTTCACTCCAGAAGTAGCTTCAAAGAACCCCGACCTCCTGCAATCTCGTGGCCTCGACCCAAACAAGAGACTCACCGTCCGCGCCATTCAACCCGTCAATCCTGGCCCCAGCGGTCACACCAACCTCCTCCTGAGCGCCTGGGACGACGGCACTTGCCGCCTCATGGACATCCGCACGCCGTCCCCCTTCGACGCGCTCTACCGCGACATGTACCAGCCGTTTGAGCCCGTCTCGTCGCTCATCACGTACGGCTCAGACCGCTTCGTCGCAGGCAGCGCGGAAATCGAAGCGCTTAAGACCTTCGACTTCCGCTGGACCAAGTCGTACTACCACTCCGCGGCGCTGCCGTGCTGGTCCGGCACCCCGTTTCCCGACCCTCTCAGGGGGACTAGCAGTCGCCCGCTGAGCCTGAACGGGGTCGGATGCAACCACTTCAGGGGAAACCGCTGCGTGTGGCACGAGAACTCGACGAGGGACTACTACCGGCCCAACTACCGCTTTCACGTCATGCCCTTCAAAGGAGCGTCGCGGGCGTCGAGCTCGCGCATCTTCTCCCTCGCCAAGGCGTCTGACGTCTCAGACTCGTTCTACGTCGGGCTGGCGGGTGCCGTGGCGGAGTTTTCTACTGCGTTCAACGGCGAGGCGGATGATGTGGTGCCGTCTGCGGTCGCCACAGCGGCGGAAAAGCGCGGCTGGAAGGCGAGGGAGTCGCAGTTTAGCTTCGCGGAGACGGGCGATGGACTGCTGCATCCTGGTGTCTCCATGAGCACTTTCATGCCCCGGCTTGTTCAACGCTTTGGGGATGAGATTGACGCGCCGCAGTACAGTGGCTGGTATACCAAACAGACACCCAAGACAGCCGCGTGGCACCGCTGGGATAAGAGCTTCTGGCGTCCCACACACTTCACTTTCTGAGATGAAATTGGAACGGAGGGGGAGGACATCACAACATTGATCGGAATAGAAAAATAATAATAGAACATGTGAGCATAGCGTTAGAGTGGTAGTCATGATATGAATAGTCACTGAGTTGCATTTCATGCGTGTCATCCTATATGAACCATAAATACAGTTTGAACTGTGAGGTGATCTTTTCTTCCAAACATCCGCCAGCGTTGGTTACGCCCAAGAGAATACTCATACACATCACCAGCGGCTGCCCCTGCCACTGCTCTTGTCATCTGCTCGGCGCTCCCGCTCAAGCATCTCGTCAAACTCCCTCTGAGCCTTATCCTTCTCAGAAGTTCCAGATTCTCCAGACTGGCCCTGCCGGCCCTGCTGGCCTTGTGAGCCGCTCCAAGTATTGCCGGAGGGCGCCTGCGGTTGCTGGCTTGCCCGGCGCAGGCGATCCCAAGCAGAGCCGCCGGAAGACGATTCCGGCACAGGCCTCGAGGCCGGAGCCACCGGCGACGCATCATCCCAGCCGTCCGAATCGGAGTTGCCCCAGCCTGACTGCGAGGATGAACTTTGCTGACCCCATCCGCTCTGCGTGACTGGAGTTTCTCGTGGTGTGTCGTACTCTGGGCGAACGTTGTCTTGAGGCTCTTGGTACGCGGGAGAGTCGGATGAGCTGATGGCCGGGTAGCCCTGGGTTGGTGACTGGTCATCGTAGCTCTGAGAACTCTGGTTGTCGCTCTTCCGGGCGATCGCTTCGTCGATTTGCTTCAACGTATCCTCCAAGGTCTTAATTCTGGTGGTCGCATACTCAATTTCTTTGGTGAAGTTTTCCTTGTTCTTGTCGGATTGATTCAGCGTCAATTGATGTTGTCTTGACTCGATCGTACGTTGCAATTCAGTGATAGTCCTGTTAACTTTGAACCGCTGTGACTGAAGGCTCTTAAGGGGCATCTGATCAGCAGTCAGGGATATCAGCCTGTCGGGCTTCATGTCCTTGCGGAAGTTCTCGAGGCGGTCGTCGCGGGCGACCGTGCTGATGGCGACGGAGGTAGCATATGAGCCGAGCAGCGGAGCAGCAAAGATGGCGGAGGTCATGCCATAGGTAACAAAACGAAGGTTATGCCAGAGAATCTTGGCCGGTGGGCCCTTGACGTAGGGGATATTGCTGCTGGGAAATACTTCCGGGTCGAATTTGATGAACTTCGGTTGATAAAAGGGAAATTTGAAGGTTCCGCGCGATTTCCAGGCGGCGACGCCGCCGAATAGGAAAGCCAATGGCAAGATGTAGGACAATGTGCGGCCTTCTTTGTAAGTGATCTCACAAAGGGCGTCGACCTCTGTTTGGGTTGGTTGCCTTCCCATGCCCGCGGCCGAGCCATTGAGCATGTATCTTATCTTTTCGACATGCTGCTCAGGTTTCTGGGCCATCAAGCGCTGCCATATTGTGAATTCAGGAGGCGGGATGTGGTACTCGGCCGGAGGCAGGTTTTTGACGAGAGAGTCGAAGATGTCCTTGTCCAGCGAGACGGAGAGGGCCATGCTGCCGGCCGATGGAAGCTCAACGCCAGGGCTTTCTGTCCCGGATGTTGAAAACCAGTGATCTGTTTGAAGACCGGCAGAGAAGATGTTCTGGTGTGGTGAAAGTCGGGGTTCCAGGGCCTAGTGGTTGTGAGTCGAGCGTGGACTTGCGGCTTGAAAGTCCTGACGTCGTCGTGGAGTGACGGAGCTACTAGAGGTAGAGCTCTGGTGGGTCTGTCTCATTGGCGTGGGGGGAGATCCCGGGCGCCCCGGCCATTCGGCAGAGCGTTTCTCCATGTGGGAATTGCGATTTGGTCTGAGTTGATCCCGACTGCACAGTCTCATGAGTATGCGCTCTGTACCTAAGGTACCTATGCAAGGCACCCAAGTAGCCATTGTGCATCGTTGCTCGGGGAAACCAACACCCTGCAGCTCATCTGATGGATACCAATCGCTAGCCAGTGCTTTCCTCCTGCAACACATAAGCAGCAAGGAACAAGACGCGAACAATTACGAACACTCGCGGGGAGCAAGTGCGCGGTGACTTGCATTCCTGAGTGTGCAGGGGCGATATTATGTACCTAAAGCCCCACAAATTACCGCGAACGTGCAGCGGCGCGTCCCCTGTGCAAAGCCGCCGCGGTCTCGAGAAGACGCGACAGCGCGTCGAGGGACAACCACTTTATTCTAGTCTCCCGCTCACCCACCTTAGTCCATCTTCCTCCATGACCCCTGCTTCGACTTGGTTGGAATACTCCAAAGCATTCCCGTGATAGTTTCTTTGGACATTGACCCAATATCGCCGAGATGCCTCTCAAGAAGTCATACTCGGAGCATGTTGGTCCAGGGCCAAAGGTATGTCTTCCCAACTTGAGGTACCCCTCCACCCGTTCCGTTTCTGCTGGCTGACCCTGCCTCAGAACCGCTCATGGCAACGCTCGAAAAGCAACCCCATCACTGCTCAAACCACGTCGCGACCTCTCGCCCCCGTATCCGATAAGACCAAGAACAAGCTGAACCAATTCCAATTCCAGTCCGCCGATAAAACATATGATGACCAAGAAAATGATGCGCCCGGCGGCCACCTCTCCGTTACTCCGTCAACAAAGTTGAGCTGGCGAGATCTGATGGAGACGAATGTACCCAAGAAAGAGACCCAAACTTCGCCAGGCGAACGAATCCTATGGGACAATGAACGAAACAAAGACGACCGCACCTATGCTGCCGCCCTCTCCCCGATGTTGCAAAGGAAAGGCCGGAAGCGTGCCAGGAGTTCTTCACCGGTGTCGTCCCCTGCCCCCGACCAACCCGCAACGCCGGCAGTGAACGTCAAGAAGCTCAGCGAGGCCCTCAAATCGCCGCATGCCGACCCAACCCTGGAGCTTTGGGATCGATTCTCTCTTAGTAGCAACGGCAACGTCACTCCCCTCGGCGTCTCGAACCCCGCCCTGGCTCACCTAATGTTCTCCTCTTCTCCGCGCAACCTCAAGACTGCACCAGCCCCCGCCGGTGGCGATGCTAATTTGCGGAGAGCCATAAGCTGCGGCCTCAATTGGCCAAAGAGGAGAAGAGTAGACCGCGGAGATGCGCCTTCATTAACCAGCACGTTGACACGGGAGACGACAGACAGCTCCAAGAACTCTCTAGTCACGGCGTTGCTGGACACCGTCACCGGAAGCATTCAAGAGGACAGCCCGCCACAAGAGGCGCCTGAGCCGCTGCCCGAGCATGATTTCGAGACACCATCTCCTAAGAAGAGAAAGACGGATACAATGCGAAGGCCGCCGTCCTCACCAACGCCGAGACCAACCAGGATTCCGAATCTGCCGCCCCCGGGCAAGAGCTCTAATACGGCTGTAGCAAAGGACCTGGGCTTAGATAAAAAGAACGCTGCTCCAGCTGCCGAGTCCGACTATGGCGACGATGACTTTGATGAGTTCGACGACGACACTTTCTTGGAACTAGAGGCCGGTATGAGTCTTTCCAATCCCCAGCAAGAGCCGACGCAGACTACCCCGGTGCCCCTGCCAGTTCAAGCAGCCAAGCAGGACATCGCCGCGATGGATGACGAGTTTGATGACTTGGATGAAGACATTTTCGAGGCCGCGGAAGGGATCATGGAAACTGCAGAGATACACCTGGCGTCTCAATCTGCAACATCGGCAAAGCCTGCCTCCGCGCCGAGACCCTTACCGGCTCCTTTGGATAACGACCCGGACGACGTCTTTGGAGATGACTTCGGCGGAGACTTCGATTTCGACGCTGCAGAACTCGCTGCGACACAGACCGCTCAGCAATCCCACGCCCCATCCACAACTGCTGTACGTCCCAATCAACGGCTACCCCGGTAGCAAATACTAAGATGAAGGTAGACAAAACCCAAAGCCATTCAGCGATATCTGGTGACCAATGTCCTAGAAAGCGAGTACACAGACGATCGTGATCGGTCCAGAATGGAAAAAGTAGGCTACATTCAGCTGCTGTTGAATTGCAACGTTTGCTAACTTGACTCTAGACTCTGATCGTGCAAAAGGATAACAGCAAGACCATGAGGACAATACACCTCCGGGGAGACTGGTTCGAGACACCAGCACACCCCAAAGCATACGTACACGTCATTGGCGACTTTTCTGCTGATGGGCGATGCATCATTGATGATTCCCAAAACATTCTGGTCTTGCATCCCGATCAACTGGTCTCCGCAACAGTAGTCGCCGATTCTTTTAGTTGCATGCGGAGGGCTGTCTTGCAAGACCGCGTCAAAGCCACTAGCGAAGCAACTGCTCCTCTTGTCTACGGCACCATGCTCCACGAGATCTTCCAAGAAGCCCTGATGGCGAACAAGTGGGATCTCCGGTTCCTCAGCACAATTATCGACAAAGTCATCGAGAAACATGTAGAGGACCTGTACAAGATCAAGGTCAGCACGAGTATTGCCAGGGAGCACCTGCAGTCCAAGATGACTGAGTTGAGTTGTTGGGCTTCGGCCTTTGTCTCCTCTCAGCCCAAGGCAAGTGATCCGTTCTCAGATGGTTCTTGCCGTAGTCGCTAACAGAGAGTAGCTCGATGCTGTCGTACAGGATCGCAATGGCAAAAAAGCCAACATGTGTGTCAGCAAGCTGCTTGATGTTGAGGAGCATGTTTGGTCACCCATGTACGGCCTGAAAGGAAACATCGATGCGACTGTTCAAGTCACGATGAAAGACGGCAAAGATCTCAAGACCTTGACCGTACCATTCGAGGTCAAGACTGGCAAGCATGCCAACGCCAACCACACGGCGCAAACAGCTCTGTACAACTTGCTCCTATCAGACCGCTATGATCTAGAAATCGTCTATGGTATCCTTTACTATATGGAGACATCCCAGACGATGCGCATTCCCACCATTCGTCACGAACTACGGCACATGATTATGCAAAGAAACCAGCTAGCATGTCATATTCGAGAACGCAGTGTTCAGCTGCCGCCGATGAAAAGGAGTAAGAACATGTGCGGAAAATGCTACGCCAAGGCTCCGTGCTTCATCTATCACAAGCTTGCAGATGACGGCAATGGAGAAACGAGCGGAATGGATGTGCAGTTTGACGAGGTAGTAAAGCATCTTACACCCAAGCATCAGGATTTCTTTCTCAAATGGGAAAATCTCTTGACGAAGGAGGAGAAGGAGACGCAGAAGCTGAAGAGAGAGTTGTGGACGATGGTCAGTCAGGAGCGAGAGAAGGTGGGAAGATGTTTCTCGGATGTCATCATTGAGGAAGGCTCATGGTCTGAAGACCAGGGAACTTCAAAGATCAACCGTTTCAACTACACCTTCATCAAGCGAGTGCCAAACCCTGGCCATTCTTTCCTGGAGTCTCAGCTTGCCGTAGGTGAGCCCATCGTCGTCTCCGATGAACAGGGACATTTTGCGCTTGCGCTGGGCTACGTTACCGCTGTCCGCAAGCAGAGAATTAGCGTGGCCGTCGATCGGCGGCTGCACAACGCGCGAATCCGTCAACCGGGCTTCGACGAATCCAACAACCAAGTCTTTGCCAGTATCATGGAGGTTGTCCCTGAAGGCTCCACCCAAGATGACGCCCCAGGAAAGATCCAGCAAGCACCCATCCGTTATCGACTTGACAAAGACGAATTCAGCAACGGCATGGCGGTCGTGCGAAACAACCTCGTACAAACCATGGCGGAAGGTGTTTTCGGCTCTCGAGAAATCCGCCGGCTTGTTGTAGACCTTGTTCCGCCGAGATTCAAGTCAGCACCCACGCAGTATACTATCGCTGACCAAGAGTCCCTGAATGTGGATCAACGCAAGGCAATTGAAAAAGTCATGAGTGCTCAAGACTATGCGTTGGTGCTCGGCATGCCTGGTACAGGCAAAACAACGACGATTGCTCACATCATCCGAGCCCTCACATCCCAGGGAAAGAGTGTGCTGCTCACCTCGTACACTCATACCGCTGTCGACAACATTCTTCTCAAGCTCAAGGACGACAAAACGCCGATCCTGCGTCTCGGCGCCCCCGCCAAAGTTCACCCCGATGTGCAGCAGTTTGCGATTCTGGCCGGCCAACCGATGAACTCTTTCGATGAAATCAAGGCAGCATGGCACGACACGCCAATTGTCGCAACGACCTGCCTCGGTATTGGACATCCGCTCTTCAACGAACGGACATTCGACTACTGCATAGTTGACGAAGCCTCTCAGATCACGCTACCCATCTGTCTTGGGCCGATCCGAATGGCAAAGACTTTCGTCCTTGTTGGAGATCACAATCAGCTTCCGCCTCTCGTCCAAAATGAGGAGGCACGCGAAGGCGGTCTTGATGTCAGCTTGTTCAAGCTTCTCTCAGATACACACCCCGACTCGGTGGTCAATCTGGAACACCAGTATCGTATGTGCGAAGACATCATGACCCTTAGCAATACCCTCATTTACAAGGGGCGCTTGCGATGCGGCACGGAGCAGCTACGATTCAAGAAGCTTGACGTGCCAAACATGAGCGCGCTGAAACAGCTTCACTACGACTCATCGACCATACTTCGTCCAGGCACTCCGAAGTCATTTTGCACATCCATGGCGCAAAGCTGCTGCTGGCTTCGTGAACTGCTTGATGGTGAAACCCGGGTGAAGTTTGTCAACACCGACACGCTTCAGCCCCTGACCCGTGAGGAGGCGAAAGGAAATCGAATTGTCAACCCGGCCGAGGCACGCATAGTTACGCAACTAGTTGAGGGTCTACTCACCGTCGGAGTGCCTGATGGAGAGATCGGAGTCATGACACACTATCGTTCACAACTTTCCTTGCTCAAGCATGGTCTTCGCGCCCATGTCGGCGTGGAAATGCACACTGCAGATCGATTCCAAGGCAGAGATAAGGACGTCGTCATTCTGTCCCTTGTCCGCAGCAACGATAGTTGCAGCATCGGCGACCTGCTGAAGGACTGGCGCCGCATCAACGTGGCCTTCACTCGCGCCAAAACCAAGCTTCTCGTCGTCGGAAGTAAGAGCACATTGAAGGGCAGCGGAAAAGAAGAGATGCTCAGCAAGTTCATTAGCCTGATGGAAGAGAGAGACTGGATTTACGACCTGCCTGCCGATGCTTTGGAGAATCACTTTTTTGACGATACGTCGACACAGCTGACCGCCAGCGGCGTATCGCCTCTGAAGACAAGGAAGAACACGAGTCCAAGGAAGGGCATCAGTCCAAGAAAGATCCCGAAGTTGGGATTAGGTGTCGATAAGGAGAACCGGCGACCGGAGCCCAAGAGGGCAAGAATTGGAGAGAAAGTGCTTATGAAGGATAAAGTCATTCTCAGGGATATTCTGAATGACATGACAAACGGCGGTTATTGAGATATGCATGGATTGGAGTAAACGGCATTGGTATTGGGATCCAATGATAACTTTAGGATTACGAGATGTAAGGCGTTGGGTGTTATTATTGGTGACGCGTAGCATTTGATAGGCTATTGCAGGTATCAGGTTTCTCCGCGTAAATCTTTGTCATCGCAGCTTTTTGTGCCCTCTGGTGATACGAGAAATAGAAAGGAGAGACGATTTTTGGGTAAGACGGGGTCCGGTGTACATACCGAGGCCGAGGGAGTTGTCGCATCTTCGGCTCTGCGAAGACCAATCAATCGGCGATGCAGCGCAGGTCTTGGAAACTCTGCCTCAGACGCAACCTGCCGACACAACTCCGGATCTAAGCAACAAGTGTCGCACAACTCCCGAATCGCTTTCGTCACTTCTTAGAGATCTTCCTGTTCTTCAACAAAAGAGGTAGCCGTCTTGTACTCTTCGGAGTGCCATTTCCGTAACTGGTCGGGTGGAGTCGGTACCTCGATCGTCGACACGTGACTTTTGCTGACTAACCATCCCGACGTGGACCCGAGAATCCAACTCCAGTCCAGCAACCTCCCTCACTTGTGTGAGCAACGACGCAAACTCCGCCCACCGCGCCCGCGAAATCTCCCCTCTCAAACCCCGCCCAACCCATCACCGAAACACGTCAATTGGGACGCTCGCCCCCTCGAGACGCAAACGAAAGACCCCGACGATGCCGGCGATTCGTCCGACCGCGGCCATCCGCGCCGCCCGCGCCATCAAGACCACCGCTCCTTCCACGAGGGCCTTCTCCGTGACCGCCCGCCGTGGCGGTGGCGGCTCCGACTTCGATCCCCCGTCCGGCTGGCTCTGGGGCGTCAAGCCCGGTGAGAAGTACGAGAAGGAGGGCTGGGAGCTCCCCTTCTACACCCTCTTCTGCGGAGGCATCATTGCCACCGGCGTTGTTCTCGCCTTCAAGCCTGATACCTCGTGAGTGCAGCCCGTCCCCCCGCACCCCGAAGAAAGGCGGCAACACCACAGGATACCTACTTCCGGGTTCTCCTTTAGCTGCAAAGCTACGTCGACGGGCTTCGCACACAATCGCCAGCATTGAGGCAATTTCGATGTCGACCGTGGCTAACGTTGATTGAATTTAGGCTCGACACGTGGGCCCTCGAGGAGGCCAGAAGGAGATTAGAAAAGGAGGGCATCCTGCCGGACCCCGAGAAGTGAGGAGCGGATTCATGTAACAACGCGCACAAATTACATATATTCGACGAAACCCGAACTTTTTTCTGTTTTGACTTTGGAAGCCAAAAAAGCTCTTGGCCCGGCGAAGGGGAAGAGAACTATAGAAAGGAGAGAAATGGCGTGACGGAAGCAAAGAACCCGAGCCGCGAGGATTGAAGCGGAGAGGGGAAAGACCAAGACAGGAGAGAACTTGGCGGAACAATGAAGCTTCGCCTACCGTACAGGCGAAAGTCTCTTGTTTCCGACAAAAAGTGTATATGACCGACCTTGAACTAGTTTCCTTTTTTTACATCTCTACGAAGACTTTCGCGCGCTGCCGAATGCTTAGATTTCATTTATGGTCGTTCATGAGTCGAGTTGATGAGGCGGCAGCTATATCTCTGTCTTCCAATGACGTCGAAGCTCAACGGAGCTTCCACCTACGTTGACTCATTGTCGGTGCTGGTTAAACCACTCCTGCGGCTCTTGACTGGCCAAGTATGGGCATTCAACTGCTCTTAGCAGCGTTAAAGCCGTGTGCGATCTCGACAGACAGCTTCACTTTGAAACGACCTGTGTCAAGAGGAACAAACCACTACCGAATGACGTATAACGTTTTGAAGCTTCTCAGGTTCTATTGCACACGCTTTCCTTTTTGGATATCTACAAATCTACAATTCATTGCTGGCCAATGCTTACGCGGGAGCAACATAGCTCCACTCGTGCTCCTCATCACCGTACTGTCTGGCCTCCATCCAGCCCTTCATTCTCAGGGCAATCTCGCCAGACTCCTCGGCCTCAGTCAGGCCGCAGTTGATGGACTTGCCCTTCCAGGCAATGGTGCGGATGGGGCTGACAATGGCAGCGGTTCCAGCACCAAAGGCCTCGATGAGACGTCCCTCGTTGGAGGCCTCCTCGAGCTCCTTCATGGTGTACTTCCGCTCAGAAACCATCCAACCCTCGGGCACGAGCCTCTCGCGGGCAAGAGCAAGAACGGAGTCACGGGTGACACCCTCGAGGATGGTGCCGTCGAGGGGCGCGGTGACGAGCTCCTTCTGGCCGGTCTCCTTGTTCTTCATGGCGGCGAACATGTTCATGGTGCCGACCTCGGTGACGTACTCCTCCTCGCCGAAGAGCCACAGGTTCTGCTGGTGACCGCGGCTGGCGGCCTCGAGCTGGGGAACGATGCAGGGAGCGTAGTTGGCGCCGAGCTTCTTGTCGCCGACACCGCCGGGCCAGGCGCGGACGGCGTAGTCGGTGGCCTCAAGAGAAACGGCCTTGAAGCCGGTGGGGTAGTAGGGGCCAACGGGGGAGGCGATGACGTAGAGCAGGGCAGAGCCCGGAGGACCGACGCCGAGGGTCTTTTGGGTACCGATCATGGTCGGGCGCAGGTACAGCGAGTAGCCCCTCTGATCCGGGATGAAGTCCTTCTCGAGGTTGGCGAACTTGGAGATGAGCTCGATCATGGTGGTGGGCTCGAAGGTGGGCAGAGCGATACGGGCGGCAGACTTGTTGAGGCGGGCCATGTTCTTGTCAGGCCGGAAGAGTCTGATCTGACCGCTCTTGTCCTTGTAAGCCTTCATGCCCTCGAAACACTCGAACGCGTAGTGGAAGACGCAGGTCGCGGGGTCGAGAGAGAGGTTCTGGTAGGGGACGATCTTGGGGTCGAGCCAACCCGTTTCTTGGTTCCACTCGATGGTGAGCATATGGTCTGCGGCGCGCGGTCAGCAATTGCAGTCTATCATAAGGCGTCACAGGTGGTCTGACCAGTGAACTTGCGGCCGAAGACGAGCTCCTCCGGCTTGCCCAGCGTTCCCGGGTTCTTGGTCTTCTCAATGGTGAGCTTGGAAGCGTCGATGCCGACGGGCTTGGCCGCGGAAGCGGCCTCGGGCTTGACGCTGTAGAGTCTTGTTGACTGCCATGCCGCAGCTGCTAGTCTGGGGGAAGTCTGTGATAACCTGAGGGCACCGGCGGCGCGGGAGGCGCGCGGGAAAAGTTGTCGCATCATGGCGACGGCTGTTTGTGGGTATACAAGAAAAAAACAATAGTTTTTGAGTTTGTACAACCAAAAAAGATTGCGCGGGACAAAGCAGTTAAATAGACAAAAGAGAGTGACTCTTTGTAGAAAACAAAGCTGGAATATGTCAATTGCGGTCAACGGCGGAACCAATTGACCAATCCAGAGCGTGGTAAAAGCAGAGAGTCGGGCGCAATTTGAAGATAGCGTGGAGGCGGAGGAGTCAAAAGGCCCATCGGAGCGTTATCGGACTTGGGTCTGTTGCAAAGCCGTCGCTTTCCATCGTCAATCATTCAGGGTCCCCGGAGCCGGACCCGTCGCGCTGCAGCTTCAGGTCCAGTGCTGCGACAGCAAGCTTAGGTCAGCCATAAGGTAACTAGGTAGCTATAATTGGCCCCCTAGCCACCCCCTCTGGTGGCTTCATTGACAGTTTTACCCCCCCCCCCCCCCCTGAGGAGTTTGGGGGCACCTAAGCTGCGACCAGCAAAAGTGGGCTGCCCCGGTACAGGCAACCTAAGCCGTCCCGCGTAAAGGTGGTACGGTACCTACAGGCTAAGGGGAGCTGCCCAACCCAGCTTGCTTGCTCTGTTTGCTTGCTTGGCGGGAGGTGTTTTGGATGCAGACCACATTGTGACGGCACCCAACCCGGAGCTGCAGGGGTGCCTGCCGTAGTACCTACCTACCTTATGTGGGATCATCGCTAAAACATGGATATCTTGCTGATTGCATTTGGGACGCTCTTGCCTATCAGCGACGTGGATGTCGACGCGGCTGAACATCAGCTTGAGCCAACTTGCCAATTTGCGCAACCACCTGTCTTTGAATTCCGTATCGACGCCCAATCGAGCCTCGATTGAACTTCAACGATACAGCCGGAATTGCGACGACAGCCCTCGCCCTGCGTCACCGTCCAAGACAAAGACGCCACCTCCTCCTGCGCGCGCGCGAGAAGTTGACAGCCGGGTCCCAGCTTGGCGCAAACACGCCCAATTCGTACCCTGTCCGTCATGACGATCGAGTCTCCTCGAGCCCTGTCTCCTCCGCCTTGACGACGACCAGACGAACGATTTTCCAACGAACGAACTCCCAGACACGCCATCATGTTCTCCTCGGCGCTCAAGTCGATATCATCGACAAATATCACTGCGAACTACTCCATCTCTTCCACCCAGACGTCCACCGCCGGCCCCTGGAAGATTTACGACTGCAAGAAGAAGTCGACCGGGAAGCCCTACAGCGTATTCGTCTTCGACAAGAAAGGCCTCGACAGTCATGGCAATAGCTTGGGCCGTTCCGGCGCGTCGGCTTTCAAGCGGGCGACGGAAGAGGTCGTAGAGAGGCTGAAGAAGGAGGCATCAAGCTTGGCTAAGCTGCGCCACCCGAGCATCCTCGAGCTCGTTGAGCCCGTGGAGGAGACGAGGGGTGGCGGGCTGCAATTCGTCACGGAAGCTGTCACGGCTTCGCTGGCGAGCTTGTTGCAAGACAAGGACGACCAGGAGCGAAGTGGTGGGGTAGGCGGTCGGTCGAGTCGATATGTCACGGAAGACTCGGACGGCGTGCGCCGCCGGCGCGAATTGGAGATTGACGAATTGGAAATACAGAAGGGACTGCTCCAGATCAGCAAGGCTCTGGAGTTCCTGCATGAGAATGCGGGCTTAGTCCATGGAAACCTTACTCCAGATGCGATTCTTGTGAATTCCAAGGTTAGTCAACCCCTGCCAGCTCATAGCAAAGGCATTCATCGTACTGATCTCAGCTAACCCGGAACAGTCGGATTGGAAAATCAGCGGTTTGGCCTTCTGCGGCCCTTCCGAGGGGTCAAACAAGCCGACATCATTCCAACCCATCAGCCTCTCGGAGATACTCAACCCGGACCCTCGACTGCCTCGCTTTGTGCAGTTGAACCTCGACTACACTTCTCCTGATTTCGTTCTTGATAACAACTTTACAACTTTTGCCGATATGTTCTCGTTGGGTCTTCTGGCTGTGTCTCTTTATAACTCACCACACAAGTCACCCATCGAAGCCCATGGCAGTCTGTCTACTTTTAAGAGGACATTTACCTCCTCATCAACGGTTCCATCTACCTCGAACCAGTTCTTATCATCTCGACCGTTACCAAAAGAGTTGTCAACTCACGTCCTGCCACGCCTTATCACCCGTCGGCCGGCTCAACGGTTGACAGCCAGGGAATTTCAAGAGAGCGAATACTTCAACAACGTGCTTGTGTCCACAATTCGCTTCCTCGATGCCTTCCCGGCAAAGACACCCAATGAAAAGGCTCAGTTCATGCGCGGTCTCGTCAAGGTTCTGCCGTCCTTCCCAAAGACGGTCATGGAGAAGAAGTTAATGCCCGCACTTCTTGAAGAAATGAAGGACAGGGATCTCATCGCCCTAATTCTTCAGAATGTCTTCACCATCGTCGACTTGCTGCCATCAGCGAGACGAGTATTTGCGGAGAAGGTCCGACCAAGCCTCAAGGACACGTTTGCTCCTCCTCCGAAGAAGGATCAAGCACCGGAGAGGGACCCTACCAAAGACGCCGGTTTGATGGTTGTCCTGGAGCACATGTCAACTATCTGCAATAACTGTAACGGCAAGGAGTTTACGGACGGTAAAGATTTCCGGGTAGAACCTCTCCCAATTATGGACGTCAGCTAACTCCTGTGAAGATATATTACCTGTGGTATACGCAGCAATTGAAGCGCCAACTCCCGCTGTTGTTGACGCTGCTCTGAGAGGACTCCCCTCTATTCTACCAGTCCTTGACTTTAGCACCATCAAGAATGAGCTCTTCCCCGTGATTGCGGCGGTCTTTAGTAAGACCAGCAGTCTTGCCATCAAGGTGCGGGGTTGCCAAGCTTTCGTTGTGCTATGCGGCGGAACACCGGATGGCCAAGATGACGGTCTTGATGCCTTCGGTGCGAAGAAGAAGCCCTCTGCATCATCGAGCATGTTGGACAAATACACCATGCAAGAGAAGATT